GAGCTGAACACTATTGCTGTCCTATACGCATACCAGTACGCACATTAAAAGTAGCTAGTTTGAAAGGACATCTCGAGCGGAAAAGGGCTTCAACTGGTGGAGGATTCGGTTAGACTTGGACAGCAGTCGAGGTAGGACAAGAGCGAACAGCGCCAGAATTTCCGCCACAGGCACTACTGCTAGTACCTGAGAGAAATGGAATAGAGTTAGGGGGTGGAGGCAAAATTGGGAAAGGCTGGAAGAACCAAACGAGGTGTACGGTGTAAAAAGTTTTTCGATTGTTGAAGGTGTAGAGTGCCGAATCATGAGCGAGTACGTTATGAGTTATCTGCGTTGTGGGCTATTGTACTATACGGTCATCTCGTCCAGAGTCGGCCTTGTTCGAGTATGCAGTCTAGCCTTTTCGCAACCACGCGCCATTGCAAGGCAGCAGTGATGTTCCAGGCGAGTCGGTGTTCGGTTTTCCGTTGATTCGCCGCTTCTCGAAAACCTTGTGGGGCAAGGGATTTCGATATGGGGCTATGGCCATAGTTAGTGGCGAGCCACACTTGCCATGTCACAGCGCTGTCCACAGATATCTGTGATGTTCGGAAAACTTTTGCCAGGAGTTGAACCCACCACATCCTCGAGCGCTGCCGCTGATCGTCCGCGATCACTTATTCGGCCGGTCGAAGTCCAAATTATTCACGGTTTGAAGCGAGATAACAGCCGTTTCCCTATCCGCGAACCGGGGACGCGTTCGGTAGCATACAGCTCTGTTTTCCCGAGACTGGCCGCAGTCACACATTAGGTTCCACTCATTGTTTGTAAACAAATGAAAAGATTCGGAAAAATATACAATGGTTCTCTTTCACTCCCCCAAGTATATTTATCTGAATTATTCGTCATTTTCATGAATGTAAAGCTTCACCGCTTTACTGGAATCCGATTTCACGCGGTACTGATAATCGGTTGTAGCACCGCTTACAACGATCGTCTGTATTTCATTCATTCATTTATTTCCTGCGACAAGTTCCTCACAACTCTGCGCACCTTGCGCTGGTAATGTCAAATTATTGTCTTCAAAAACGGGTTACTTACCAAAGATCCCACACACAGAGATCAGAAATATTTTCATAATATTTGATTTCATTTTCTCTGAGTCGCTATTTGACGGTAAGTGTAAGCTTTTACATTGTTCTCCACATGAATCTCCCGGTAGTATGTCAGTTATTGGCCACTTTTAATATTCTGTTACGTGACTGCTATGTAGCTTCTGGCCAATATGTAATACCCCGTTGTTGGTGCCATAATTATTAAAGAGTGAAATTTTACAGTCTCCTGCCAGTAACTAAAATTAGCATATTCTTTGGTCACCTTATAATCTGAGGCATACTACGCAGATTTCCGTTAGTCGATAAATACTTTTAGATGAACTTGCAACACATTGCGAGTGTAGGGAATCAAGAAAATGGGTTTGTGCAATACGGGTTTCATCAGAAGGCAGTAATAACTATTGTTCCTACGGTTTGTTCTTATTTATCGATTCCCTGTTACTGATATTTGAGTTTACACTTCTTTTATTTCAGTAGGTGCTGCACTTTTATTTTTTCTTAAAAGTAAATGATGCACAAACCGGAGAAGAGCATTCCAATAAAGTATGTTGTTTTACCTTCAGCCAGCTACCTCTTATCAGTGCAATGTCCCTCGAAGCGTTTCTCAAGTAGGACAATTTGCTTTTTCATTTTACCCGTCAAGCTCATGTTGGTTATTTCGCACCGCAACACTTTAACAACTGCAGCATTCTGAATGAACGACATTGAGGAACCCTGTTCTTATGTGAATAGTGCTAATGTTACGGACTTCACCCGAAACAGATGTTAAAAGATACCAAAAACATTTTTAACATTGAAATAACGTCGATCGTTCAGACAGACGTCGTTCATTCAGACACTGCCCAAACCGACAAAACAACAGCCTAGGCTAACCTACAAGCACACATCTTCGGCAACAAGGCAGCGAACAGATGACAGAAGCCACCAAGTAAAGTGATCACCCTTAGAAGGTTCGATCCTTGAAAGTTCCCTGGAATCTAAAGGGCTTGTGATTTACCAAGACATGGCATATTACGTTCACAAAACGTTTCCCAAACTTGGAACTTCAGTCTCTCTTCAACACAGCAAGATGCTGGAATTTTACTTTTCTATCACTCCAAACAAAAGAAGCGCCTGGTCAATGAATGTGTGAACGTATATTCGAGAGCACTGTAAAAGATTCCTGAATCCTTTACTATCCAAACTTTAACAATTATCCATTTTTAGGCTACACCATATCCCAACTCGTTGCGCTCTATACGAGACCTACAATTTATATGCTTTCCCTCTTTTTCTATTTCTGTTTAACTGCATTACCGCCGTTTATAATTGTTGATTTTATATTCTGATCTTGACGCGCTACTCAAATCGACGTCGTGTCAATCTGGTCGTGAGTAACTATTTTATACATATTTGATATTGTAATTATTTATAGAACCACGTTCAATATTATAACTGCTGCCCAAAGCCGTTTTTCTGCCCAGATCGTGCTTTTAGTCTAGATTCACAGGATAGCTGTTTACTGCTAGCTGCCATCGTTAGACGTAGTTCATTCGTCCTACCTTACGCGTTATTTTCCTGCTGTTAGCTGTGTATTGTTCGCAGAGTCCTTAAGCGCATTTAAAATTCCGTCATACGTTATATCTGTGATCATTCCCCTAACAAGCATCATCGAAGTAATTCTGCCCGCTGCTTTGGTGATGATCAGCATCAGTTCTGTTCACCATACTGGATATGTGGCAACAGGGACAAAAATGTCACTCTGTTATATCGTTCGATCTGTGTTGGATGACGAACATCAGAGGGGTAGAGATTATTATTCTTTGAATCAAATCTTACTTCAACAATTTGAAGGGACTGACTACCGGTAAATCCTAACCCTCACATATACCCCTGTATCAGAACTTGTGAAATACAATTATATACTTGGTGTGAATAAATTATTTTGTAGTACTACTTGCAGGTATGGAGTCATTCAGCCTTGTCCCTTTTGCATCCCAAAATATGTGTTGAGATCATTTATTACATGCGAGCCTCTACTCTTTGACGTAATCCTATGCTGTAGTAACTAGTTGAAGAATCAGCAAGAGACGAATTTGTTTGCAAAATTGCATTTTCCACGTCCGTGCGAATTTTAGTGAAACGACAATCGAAGAGCCGGGGCAATTGAAAAAGTGGCTCGTCACATTTCCTCACCGTCTTCCTTGTTTCATTGTGACATGAACATACTTGATTCGTACACGTTCATCCATTACACACACGCGTACCAAACATGTTGTGATTATAATCATGTGGTCCTTCTGCCTGAGTTATTCACATTAT